ACTACAAATGCAAATGCAAATCTACTACGCTGCAGTACACTAGTTACATTACACTAAACTGAGTACACTACACTGCACTACGCTAATTACACTACAACTATAGCTACAACTACAACTACTATTACTACTATCACTACTACTACTACTACTACTGCTACTACTACTACTACTACTACTACTACTAGTACTACTACTACTACTACTACTACTACTACTACTACTACTACTACTACAACTACAACTACAACTACAACTACTACAACTACTACTACAACATTTACAGCTACAACTACACTACGTTACACTAATTACATTACACTACACTACACTAGACTACAACTACAACTATAACTACAAGTACGACTGCAACTGCCACTGCAACTACACTACATTATACAACACTACGCTACACTAATTACACTACAACTACAACTACACTACAACTACAGCTGCACTACACCACACTACATCCAGCAGTTGTGGGTGAGGTGACCACTGCAACCATTGCAACCATTGCAACCAGTTCAAAAAACACAACTCCAACCACCTTTCGGTCCATCAGCGGATTCGCTCTGCCATCCATGCATCCAACAACTCACCTCTCCTATAGTGTCCTATTTTTGAAACTTCCGCCACCGCCTTGTGCGGTACTACTGGCACGATCGATTCCGCTGTGATCATTGTGGCACATCTGGTATTGTTTCTAAGAGGGCTACTTCAAAAAAATGCCAGCACACAATGGAAACCAGTAAAAACTACATAAAACATCACAAAACCAAATAACCCTAAAATATGCCATGGCTATTCTTTTCCGTGGCAAAAAAGCAAAGACCCTTCGCGTAAAACTTTGACAACCAGGCTGTCCCTTCCCAATTTTCGGCCTGGCTAAAGGGGAACCAGCAAAAGCTGGGCAAAGCCAGATTACGCTAATTACGAGTAAAGCTAGAAAAGGCTATGAAAAAGCTAGTTCTTTCCGGTTTAGGGGAAATCCTAGAGTGTGCCATTCTGTAGGAAGTAACTAGGCGTTCTCAGGGCTATGATGTTCCTTTCATGCAACTCTGTTTGAAGCAGCCCCATCGTGTCTTGGAAGATGTGAATCTAATGTAAGATAGAGTCTTTCAAAATCTTTCGAACATCAGAAAACTACCTCTTTCCATACAGCACTGGCCGGCACTGATAAGCCAGGCCCAACCGGCGAGTCTGCCACTTGGCACAACTATCAAATACTCTGAGGGATCGTGCACGGTCGATGGTGATGTCTCATCCTCGCAAAGGGCTTGGCGGCTTAGACCGCTTCTATTACTGTTTGACAGGGATCTCTGCTGTAGCTTGATCCAAATCTTCTCGCAGGCCCCAAACGTTGTTGATGTTCAAATTGAGATCCTTAGCTTTTGCATCTGTTATCATCATTTATCATCTGTTTCTTAGGGTGAGAAAAAAATCTGTGCATTTCTCGGTGCCCATCATTTCCCCCCAAGCTCCGGCTCCAAAGGCAGGCCGCCCACCAGGAACTCCACTGAATTCCGGCGGCGCTTCCCCGGCCTACTAGTGGTATACCGCCGGAATGAGTCAAGGGAGGAGTGTTTTCACTTTAGAGAGACAGTGAGTTGGGAACCGTTGGGAACTAGTGCTCAAAGATCTGGAAGGTCACGCTTTGGAGATGGAAAAACATGAGATCATTCCATTTGGGAAACTATATAAATAATCCGGTCTTCCACTCTTCACCTCTGCGTGTTCTAAAGTCAAACACTGGACAGACATGGGACATGGAAGCTAAAGGAATCTTGGAGCTTCATGCTCGTTGCTTACGCATGAAATGCTCTTCATGTCTGCCCCTACCCGGCCCAAGAAAATGCACCTAGGTTTGGCATGCTGAATCTGGCACGCCATGGGCAGAGCAAAAGTCTGCAATAATCTGCAATCCAACATTATTGGGCTTCTCAAGGTACAGCATACTATAATTTATCCATGTTTATCCTACCATATCCTACCATAGAATCTGAATCTGTCATCAAATTTGGATTCATTGCTGATGCGTTTCTGGATGACCATGAAAGACTGCTGAACGAACACCTTCAAACGGACCAAACATCGCCAGGCAGACTGAATTCCTCCGAGCAGCAACGTTGACCTCAGCTTCCAAAGACTCGTCAGGTACACTCCTTGAGAAACCTGCTTAGTCCTTGAATTCTAGGTACCAATAGATTGAAGTGTACGATGTATCAGAGGTGCCCAAAAACCATCCCGCCCCTGTGAGCCCATCAGGGACATGAAACTCACCCTGCATCACAAACAGCTAGATTTGCTTCTCACCTGGTTGTATCTCTATACAATTTTGAAATAGTTAAAATGGTCTCTAGCTCTCTAGGCAATGTCATCAATACCATCAAGACCATCAATACCATTAGTACCATCAATGCCCAGGAATGTCCAGGAATCTGAAGTTTAAGACATTGCAGACATTGCAGGACTTCCTCGATGAGTTCTGAGTCTCGGACTGCCGTGACATCGGAGGAGGTCGCAATGCCCTGGAGTCCAATATTCCCTTTCTGCACGGACACGCCCCTCCTTAGCACAGATTAGTGAAGGTTGGTGATGGTTGGCGATGGTTAGTGGTTACATATGGAGCTTGATTGTCTTGATTCCATGGTTTAGTATGGTTTAACTATGTTTCACTACAAGTACTGCCTTCTCTAGAAGAATTGATCTGTCAAACTGAGACCAGCTGTTCATATGTCTTCATTGCTTCAATCTTCATCCCAGTGGCGGCAACTTCTCCAGTGTGAGCTGGTTTGCCTGCACCAGAGATGCAGTCGCGTTGTTTTCGAGATCTGTATCGAGAAAGCGTTGCCCAATTCGGCAAACTGAAGGGCTTCAGAGGAACAGAACAAATTCCCGGAGAATTGTCCAGGCAAAATGATCCTTGCTGGCTTCTGGGAGTAGTTCATGCTGGAAAATTAAGTGCTTTTAAGGTCATTTTTTGTAGTATTGCAGTGCGCAGAAAGACTTCAATCCACGAACAAGCGAATCAAGCGACAGTCCAATGATTTGGTGAGTCAGATTGGCAGAATGTGTTAGTCCTGTTAGTCATTGATGGTTGACCAGCCACATCATGCACGCATGCACATAGATCATATAGATATATATAGATCATTGCAATCAAAACACGTCAACTGACCCCAGGATCCACTGCCTACACTCTAATTCTCTCACCCAGCTATTGGTCGATTCCTGGTCAAATCCATTTCCAAGTCCAGCAACACCCATGGACTCCGCTTCCGCGCCATATCTGCTGCCATTGTCATGCCAGTGGGATCTGTTACAGACCTGCGAGTTGGCTCAGTTGCTGGATCAGCCCAAACCATCGGAGAGCAAAAATACCCTTTGGTAATTTAACATAGCTATGGAAAATCACCATTTTTAATGGGAAAATCCACTATAAAAACGTTTCACCGAGGAGGTTTGAATCGTTGGAGTCCACGACAAACAGACTTGGATCCCTGGCAAGGATCCACGGCGATTCTCGGGCTTGTACAAGGTCTCCTGTGCGCCAAACACGTTGCCTCAATGTGATGCGATTGTTTCATGTTGTTTATATTATATATATATACGGAAACTACATTCAAATATACGGACTTTTAAATATACGAACAGGTATTTTAGACTACCTCCGGGACGGTTTTCCTTGGCCCGCCCGGCCATTTAAACATACGGAATCCAATTCATTTAAAGATACGGCACCTACATTTAAATATACGAACTGGTATTTTATACTACCTCCGGGGCCTCGCGGTCTGGCCCGCCCTCCACATATTTAAATGTCGTTACCGTATAAATATGTGTGTCTGATCGGCATATTTCAGCTGTTCAGGAAATGAAGATGACTGCCATATAAGCCCTGTAGGCGATATAGGTCTTTCCCAACTTGCCTGCATGACTGCTTGCACCTTCGCGTCAGTGACCTTGGTAGCACGGCGCTCTGGCATGTCAGATGCTTGAAGCCAGCTCTTCACTAGAGGCAATTTGGAAATGGCGCGCGCAATGTGACCAACCACGCAACATTCCAAGAGTGGCCAATGAGTCAACTCTTCAGCATTTATCCACAATATCATAATACTATATATATAAGTCATATAGTATATTATATAGTCATCATAGGTATATAACCATATATAATAACCCATCTTAATCTCAACATATAGATTCCAACAGGTCCCAATTATAGGGAAACAGCGCTGTGCCAAGTCGCGTCTACTTCCATCACCTTGAGGCTGTCTGGTGCTGCAGGTCTAGGATTGGCCATCATGGGCCGCCCCAGAACCTGGCCGTCTCACCATGGCACCAAGTGGAGGAACATGGAGGAACTAAGGCTGCTAAGGTAAGGTGAGTAAGGGAAGGTATCATTCAAATTAGCATCCTATCACATATCTTTTTGTGTAGCTGTGTAGCTAGGATACGACCAGGTCAGCAGGTAACAAGTTGTTGTTTCCAAGATTCAGATCTGGAGTGTCAAAATTTGGTGGATGTTCAAGTCTTTGTTGAAGAGTCATTTGATGGTAAGACGCAAACATGGAGACATGCATCTCCTAATTTAATGGACAAGAAAAAACGCGTTGCGCCAATTAGATCCAATTAGCACCATTGCTATGTCCGACATTTTCCGACTGTTCTTTCCAAATCTTTCCACCTGTGGCACACGTGGCGTGCAGCGCTTCCCTGCCTTGGGCAAGCGACGCCTTCCAGATCTCAGGCCATAGAGGAGCATGCAGACTGGAAACAGCACCTTTGTTTGGGCCCTGGTAGGGTTCGTCTAGATCCAAGGGAAAGTGGCAGCTGGTCGATATTGAATGGATATGAATGGATGATCCAATTCTGAGGATTCTGAGGAAAATCGTGGAACATCAAATTTCTACGGTACAGTCCCGGTACGACGGTTGAAGCTTTCGTTCATGGTACGCTTTCGTTCATGGCATCATGGCAGCATCGCCTCCGCTGCACGCTTTTTGGACCTCCGCATCTGTACATTGCCGGCGCCCGGCTGTGGGCCGGTGCCCTACAGCAGGGATTGCTGGGCCATAGTCAGGTCCTCCAGGCGATGCCTTCTGGCGGACATGGAACGCAAGGTACCACTGCTGGTGCCAGCCTCATGCGGTGAATGATTGAAGATCTTTCCCATCAAGAAGCCTTGTCGTCGAGCTTCAAGAACCTGGAATTTGATGTGGACCGCAACAATTGGCCGGAAGATGATATATAGTCATATATAGTCTATATAGTGATGCAAACGATTGCTAGTCAAAAACCGATCCAAGTGGAGTATTTGAAAGTATTTGGATATATTTGGATGTATTCTTCATCATCAGAACTAAAATAAACAAACTAAAGTAGCCAAAACAGAACAGGTTATTCAATTTTCCAAGGCAGGAACTTCAGGAGTTGCTTTACTGCGTGGCACCATGCACACGGTCACCGACATCCGCGCCAGCTCGGGGGACTCCTCCGGGCCCGGGCAGCGACTGAAGCCGCTGCCGACGTGGCCGCCATGGATGGTGCGAGAATCCCAGAGGATGAGATCCCCAGGCTCCGCCAAGAGCAATATAGCACTCCTGAAGCAGGGGATATGGAAGAATTCATCAGTTGACTCATGTTAAGTATATATATATATATGATCATATACTAATAATCATTCATATAATGTTCATTAAAGTAATCCTAATATCCTAAGTGTTCATCTCAAAGTGATCAAACAATGAAATGAAAGTTGAGGAGCGCCACCACGAGTGCCAGCAGGCGCCAACACATCAAGCAAGCAAACAAGTCATCAAAAAATAGGACCTGAAGAGGTTGCTCAGTTGCTCCAAGGGAACCATTCGCCTCTTCAGTGGTGTTTAAGCAAAATGGTCTGTGCCTCAACAAACTGTCGATCCAAGGCTCTCATGATCGCTCATCAACGGGCACCAGTCACCACAGCTTGCCAAGTGAGGAAATTCCTCTTTCAGCTCCTCATAGCATTGGAAACGAACGGAAATATATAACACTACATAGAATGACACAACATTCTTTGCATGGCGAATTGAAATGCTAAGTCCATAGATAAATGCTCAAAAACTCTCAAAAAGCACTTTGCCCGCTCATCATCCCAAGCAATAGCGTTCAAACTTTGATGAGCTGCCGCTCAACAAATGCAAGAATATGACATATGCGAAACAAAGCGAACAAGCCGCTGCACCGTTTGCTACGAATTCCATTAACCACTGAGTCATGAGTCATCCTCGAGCAGCCTATGAAACATAAGAAACCAATCAGTTGACCCCCCGCATCCAAGGCTCAGCTTTGGCAGCTTCGGTATGTGACCTTGGGATGACCTTAAGGCCACCACTTGCCATGCTCACTGGCAGCAAAGGAACCATGCCTGAAAGATGCAGCATGATGCAGCAGTTTCCAAGAATTTGGGCATCAAATGGGATCACATGGGGTCACATTACAGCGATTAATGGTCAGTGCAAAGCCAAGGAAAAAAAAAACAGACTGAAGCAAACCGCAGTCTTCCTTGAACCGTTTCCAAACCGGGCTTGTGAAACGGGTTCTGATCCAAATGCAATCCTGCACAAAGCGACGCGGCCAGTCTTACTTGGTGCATGACATGCTTCGAAACGAGACATGAGCACAATGTCAGCAAGCGTTCGATATTTCTAGCTTATCATGAAATCGCGCGCAAATGTCCGTACGCCACATGGCTTTGCAAAGGATACTGTCTATCGACATGGCTTTGCAAAGTCGTACGCTGGACTAAGTTAGAACGTCCCAGCCATGAACTCCTTCTGTGATCGGCATCCATGAAGACTTGATCCACCAGGGTCTCCAAAGAATCACAGCATCCATTGACACAATCAGCTCCTTGGAATACATTGTGGGAGCACTGCCAGCACTGCTATGAATCTAACCTGTGAATAAACATGACTAAAGTAAATGCGGGAAAACCTATGAAAACCTTATGTTTTTTGTTCAAACGGTGACTTGGGTCTTATTTCCAGGGTACCACAGCCACACATTCAACATATTCAAACCATATTCAAACCTATCTATTCGCTTTGGCAAGGTTCTGGAGTTTCCCAGACCTCTTCAAACGGGCGTTTCACTCCGGGACACGCCCGGACGTACCAAGCACCAGGGTCTTGTACCACGGCTGTGTCGAGGCCTTCGAGTGCAGCTGCAACAAACTGGAGCAAGATCGGTAATTGGAAAAAAAAAAAGTAAATTGGGGATGTTCAACGGTCATGGGTAAATGCAGGGATGGTTTATTGGTAAATTGTGCAATCTTCATGATAATCATGATAGGGTTTAACTCGGTTCAACAATGTTTATCAAACATCAGCTGCTGTTGAAACTCTGTTTGAGCCTCTGGGAAGCCTCATCCTCCCATCCAAACATAACTGCGTTTGCCATCGCCTGTACGAGAAAGCCTCCAAGTCTTCCATGTCTCACAATCAGCACGTGATATCCCATGATGCGTTTCGATGTCCTTGTACCAAAGGATATCAAAGGTATCAAAGCAGGCTTTGATGCCACAAAATTGCTGCCGAAGGCTCGTCCTGTTTATTGCTATTGCTTTAATGATGGTACTGGTACTGTGCAAATCTGTGAGGTAAATCAATGTTGAATCCTTGGGAGAGGTTCCTGTTTAAGACACCAGCCTAAAGACACATCTACAAGGCAAAGCATTTGAACCCACCTCACACAGGAGACTCGCTCACCTGCAGAAAAGTGTGGCCACCTGTCTACCCGGTTATGCTATGCGCGGTTAAGACAAGAAACTGTCCACAGCAAGTCCTTTGCAGTTTTGACTTCATCAGGAGTCATGGCCCTTGCGAGAACAACATATCCTTCATCTTCAAGATGTTTGCGCCAAGCTGACGAATCTAACGCAAATCGATATGGAGCGTGACCTGAAGTGACCAAGGCAACAAGGAAGGCAACGAATCATCGGGGATTGGGGGACTGTGCACAGCTCGAATCTGAAAAGAAACAGAAAAATGCCCAGGATTGAGTTGGCCGTGCCAGGTTACCAGCATCTATGGGCTTCCTCTGTGCACTCTCCTTGTCAGGGGGCCCTTTGAAAATGCTCAAATATCTCAAAATACCTCAAAAAAATATTGTCAACATATCTTTAAATATCTATATATATATCTATATATATATATATTAAATATCCTCAAACCTTCAGGCCCTTAGCCCCTGCCATCTTTGTGCAGCTCCTCATTGGACCCATCTTGGATCTGAGCTTCTGCAGGGCTTCTGTTCTCAGCTTCTGCAGGATATCCCAGGACAGTGGCAGTCGATGCAAAGGACACGGCCATGCAGCTACGACCGCAAGTGATGGCGTGCTGGGAGGTCTGCAGTCGGCTTAGACTCAAAACGAAGTGTACCTACTATATCTGTGAATGTGTACAATCTGTTGGTGATGAGCACACACTCCAAGTGCGGTCAGCTGACAATTTTTGCTGCCTGCAGTTCCAGTGTACGAGAATTCCGCGGAGGATCCAATAATCCAATATATTCACGTTTGCCTCATGACTCAAGAGCATTTGTTTTGGATCAAGGCAAGTTTTTGAGTCCAAGTACAATTCCCTCTGTGAAACAGACTATAATATAATTATAGGAACAAAGCAACATATGTTCCTTTCCATGGCTTTATCCCATCAGGAGACCAATGGCACCTGCACCAATAGCTGCAAAAAGACCAAAACAGCAGCAGGACGCCAAAGCCTTCAGGCAGACATGAAATGTGGCATGCACCGATTGCGAAGTGAGATTTAACATTTATCACTGTGTCACTGTAGATATCATTGGAGTGTTCGGATCGTTGGAAACACCAACAGTTCATGGCAAGGGTGTGTGTGTGTGTGTGTTGTTTCCCTTCACGCAAGAAGCCTATAACCCACCGGAGCATTAGCAACGTAGTTTTTTTCACCGTGCGATGCGACTGATACTTGGCGAAACGCCTAGCCGACGGCCTTGAGTTACTCGATGGTCATGTAAACCATAAAGATCCACAAAGATCCATAAAGAGTAATTAGTGTGCTGGTATGCAGTGATATGTGGCGATATGTGGTGATATGTGGTGCTTCGGCACTTGGAGCGACCGTTGCTCCTTCCACTGTTCCCCCAGTGCCGCAAAGGGACTCCGAATGATGCCGTTGTGCCATGAGCGGTATGACCTGAGGCACCCAGAATGGACTTGGTGAAACTTGGGCTGGGTTCACTTGATAGGTTATCCAACACCTTTGGGAGTAGATTGGCAATACTTGGATATACTATTTGGATACATGATATATTGTATTTGGATATAGGCATTTGGAAGACTCAACAGTGGGTCCGGACAGTGGGCCGGTTGGCAGAACTTCCCTGATTGCGGCTGGGCCGCCAAATCCAAATGGACCTT